TCCCCAAATCCACAAATGAAATAGATTTTAAATCAATTGGTAGGCAGGTGCTCCAGAAACCATCTCGTTCAGTAATTCTCCCAATTTGGGAGGAAAGAGCTGGCTGTACTGATGGCTTAACAGTATCTCTGTGATGTGATTTGGTTTTGTTTCATGCTCTTGCATGGTGCTGATGGGAATCCAACACATCCCTTGGGTGTTCCAGAAGTGAAAAATGCCTGAGGATCTAGCCCAATCCTTACCCCACAGATGAGTGAGGAAAAGTACAAAAGCTACAGCCCGGTTCTCTAGGTACTGCCCAACAATGGAGTTTTACAGTTTATTTCCTATTCAAATACTCAGGCTCTTGCTAAACCAGATTATTTACGACTGCCCACACTTTAAAATCTGTGCCTTAGTTCATGCTGCTTCCTCCCCTGACCTGTCCATCCACACTGTCCTGAGGCCCATCCAGTAGCATACACCAACTCCCCCAATAGGGTATGATTTCGCCCTCCTTTATTTTTTTATTATTTTTAAAAATTTTATTGGGGAACACTGCGTTTTTCCTGACCCATCAGCTCCAAATCAAGTAATTGTTTAAATCTATAATAGTTGTGCAGGGCATTTTTCCAGGACCCATCAGCTCCAAGTCAAGTAGTTGTTTGAATCTAGTTGTGGAGGGCACAGCTCCTTGGCCCATATGGGAATCGAACTGGCAACGTTGGTGTTATGAGCCTGCGCTCTAACCACCTGAGCTAACCTGCCAGCCCTCACCCTCCTTTAAATCTCCACTGCCCTTTGTATCTCACTTGTAGTAATCAGGAATTACAAATATTCTAAAAAGATATTTGGTTCACACTGATGGGAATAAAAAATGCCAAACCAGTAACAAATTCCTCTTCAGATAAATCTACAGTTCATTCATGGCATCTATACCACTGATCTCCACAGGCACAATCTTTAGAGGACATATATCACTAACTCTCCCAGGGCAACACCAGAGCTGCTGCTTTCTGAACACATCAGAGGTACAAATTTCAAAATTTCAGCTAAACATTCTCAGAAGTCCCACACAAGTTAAATGCAAGAACTATTCTAGGGCGGCCAAGTGACTCAGTTGGTTAGAGCACGTGCCCTGAGCAACAGGGTTGCCGGTTCAAGTCCCACATGGGCCAGTGAGCTGCGCCCTCCACAACTAGACTAAAGACAACGACTTGAGCTGAGCTGCCGCTGAGCTGCTGGTGGGTGGGTGGCCAGACGGCTCAGTTGGTTAGAGCGTGTGCTCTTAACAAGGTTGCTGGTTCGACTACCGCATGGAATGGTGGGCTTTGTCCACAACCATCCCCTCCCCAACTAGACTGAAAACAGCAACTGGGCTTGGAGCTAATTGTCCTAGAGAAATACAGTTCCCAATAGTCCCCAATAAAAATATTTTTTAGGGCCAGCCGAGTGGCGCGTTGGTTAAGAGCTGGCTTGGGATGCCAGAGGGCCCCAGTTCGGATCCCACATATGAGGGCCAGTGACACTGCCCTCTACAGCTAAGATGCTGAACAACAGCTCAACCTGGAGCTGGGCGGCTGTGAGTCGCTGGCGACGGCATAGGCTGCAGCCCCTGCTGCAGTGAGTTGCCATGGGCTGCTGTCTGTAGCCAGCAGCCGCCATGAGCAGCCATCCAGAAGCCAGCGACTGATCTGCCTCGCCCGGGAAAAGCGCAATGATGGTGCCAACTTGGGCAGTGAAGCAACATCCTCCACAGCTAGACCAAAGAACTAAAGGACAGCAACTTGTCTTTTACCCTTCCCCCATTTCCCCAGCGCTGTTCCCATCCCCCAATTCCCCAATAAAAATCTTTTTTAAAAAAATTTATTTTTAAAAAAAAGAACTATTCTATCAACTATAATTTACATTTTTTAAATTAGCAAATACTTGATTTCAAGGTGCTGTCAGAACTTTGCCAAATGCCTCTTCAAAATAGATTTTCTATACAATCCTTGTCAAAATATTGGCAAAGTACATGTCATAAAACCTATAGGCAGAAATAACTTTACATTTTAACAAAAATAAATAAAAGCCTTATGCAGCCAAATGCCTAGATTAAGCAAAACTAAGTGATTTCAATTTTGTACTAACAATTTGTCATCTCTACAGTAACATGTCATGTGAGAACCTTATATACTTATTTGTTTTTCTCCATAAAAGGAAAACATTTCATCTCCAGTGAATAAACCTTTTTAAATCTGATTTTAGAAAATTAAGCTAATGATATCAACCAATGTCTTTGCATCAACAGTTATTAATTACAAAGTACTCAATAGATGAATAGATGAATGAGTTATTTCTTATACTTGTGTAATGTTAGTACTTAAGCCAACATTCTAGTCCACAAAAATTAATCTAAATTACCAACAAAATATAATGCTCTTTTAGCCTTGACAGTACAACAGGATTCAAGTCCACCAAATATTCCTTTATCCAGTCTTGGGATATCTTAAACCAGCCTTAGAACGTTTTTTCTTCCAAAGCATACATATATATATATATATATATATATACACACACACACATTACTGACAGCCTTCCTCCCAGCCTTTACTGTCTGGAAGTACAGACAAAAAACTAATGAAATTTGTGCTTTGCCAAAACAACTGCCATACATTGTTACTCACTGTAGGCAAGTGGACACATTCTAAAAGTTTAGAAGACAAAATGTATCATCCCTTTTACCAGGATCTTGAGAAATAATGTTTCAAAAAATAAAACATCCAACAAGTTAACATCACATCCAATAAAGAAAGGAAAATGCCTGGCAAGCAATATGAAATAAGCTCAAAACACATTAACTGCTATGAAAACATTCACTGGTCAAACTGTCTACCAAAATCTAACTGGGCCAATTTTTAGCTTCCCAAATCCAAAATATTTAGGAGTTATGGTACCCACTGTAGAATTATCAAAACTTCATCTCTTACAAGTTCTCACCTATTAACAATCATTTATCCAACTAATCTTTGATGAGCACCCACTATGTGCAAAACACTGCCAGGAAAATGCGGGGATACAAGATTAATATAAGGATATATAACCTTTAATTTCATATAAAGATAGGACAAGTATACATGAAATAGACTGAATATCATTAAGAAATGTTATATAAGTACATAAATATACTTTAAAAAAGGAAACAAACACAAATTGTAATTTAATTTGGCATATACATGGCTATCAATCCTATTTGCTAGGCCTTCAAAGAGAAGTTAACGTTAGCTGACCTGCCCTGCCAAAATACCTTAGATCTGTCTAACCTGAATAATGTAATTCAGCTTTTAGGGGTTTCAATTCTGGCCTCTTGGTAGAGAAAACCACATGTGATTTCTTAAAGTAAAAACTGTTACTATAAAAGATACACTAACTTGGCAAGAAATAAAAAGTGGTGTCCACGCCCCTTCTACAGACAAGACAAAGTTGACACTTGATTCATTCCCTTCATTCTCCTGCCAACACCCCCACCCCACAGACAGGCAGATATTCTTACTGTCTGGCAAAAGAAATTACCTTTTTCATTTGCTGTTAAGACAATCTAAATGGAACTACACCTGGCTTAATCCTTATATTCCTCAAATAAATATTTAATCATTTATAGAAAATGGAAACACTTAAATTGCCTGCATGAGCAGCTGTACTTCTACTACCGTAGTCTCTTTAAAAACAACAAGTGACACACCTTAAGATCCTATTTCCTCATAAACTTTACTTTGTAAATATTCTTAAAACTGGGTTCTAATTGAGTCAATCCAGGATGACAAAAATATAAAGGAAAAAAATCTTGCAGGTTATTGCTACAAGTTATGCTTTTTTCATAAGTTAGTAAGATTCAACAATGTATTTAATACAAAGCAGCAATCATGTGGCTTAAAAAAATAAAAATGTATCTCAGCACCAGCGTAGAGAAACTTTCTGTGAGAAAACAGGGGAGGAGTCACCATGGAGAGAAATTCATTACAGATCCAGGGAGGATTTTTATCCTTGAAAATGGAATGAGAAGAAAAATTCATTTTCTAATAAATTCCCCTATACTTCTGCTGTGTGACTTAGAAGTTGGTCCAAAAGTTCATCTTCAGCAACTATGTCTGTATGATCAACTGTACATCTCCTGCAACAGGTGACTCGAAACTACATTTCCCAGGCAAAGCAAAGGGATCAAATTTAATTAAGATACCCGTTCCTGCGGTTTCTTACTTTTATTTCGGATTTTCCCAAAATGACTTTGAATCGGGTGAATTGCCACATTTGTTTTGGTTTTGTTTGGGTTTCTGCTTGTAATCAGCCACTTACTAGCAACTGTTGCACGAGCCCATTAGCACTCAATAAAAACAAACACACAGGACCAGATAAGGCTCCCCTACTAACCCAAACTGATCCATTTCCTCAACACGATTTTAAAACCACACGGTGTGCTAGGGGTGTGAAAAGCATGGGGTGTGTGTGTGTGTGTGTGTGTGTGTGTGTGTGTGTGTGCGTGTGTGCGCGCCACGACCTGTCTAAATTCTCCATTCCCTTTTAAGGAACAGATATAGAATAAAAATCTAGAAGAAACCACACTAGAAATGCAAAGGGGTTTGCAAAAACAAGAGGCTTCTTTCATTCCAAAAAAACCAAACCAAAACAAGGGGAGAAAAAAATGAATGCCATGGATATGTGTGTGCCAAAGTTTCAATCCTGCCCGATGGAGACACTGCACTGGCACAAATTTCGAAGAGGAAAATGAGGGGGTTGGGGGGAGAGAAAGAGAGCAAGCCGAGTGTGTGGCCTGCAAACTGCAACAATGCAATCTCCATTTTGAACAATGCGCCTCTATCCTCTGGTAAATCTAGTTTTTTGCCACTGGATGTGCCGTCGCATTTCCCCTCTGTTCGGTGGGGGGAAGAGGTGGGGGTGGGGGAGACCAGAGAGGGAGCGAGTAGAGGGGGAGGGTAGAGGAGGTGGGGAAGGAGTCTGCAGCGACTGGGCTGGGTGGGTACCTGGAGTGCTGCTATAGGTGCTATGGCTCCTGAAGCTGCTTTCCGTGCAGTAACTGGCGTCGTCGTCGTCGTCTTCCATCTCCTCCGGATAATCGGAGTCATCGTCGTCCTCTTCCATTTCATCTTCCTCGTCGTCCTCAGAATCCTGGATCTCTTCGGCGTCGCCCTCCTCCTCCTCCTCGGAGACCATGTCTTCCTCCTCCTCCTCCTCCTCGCTCTCGTGGTCATCGTACACCACTTTGTTGACGGCCCTCCGGGCCGGGGTGGTCCGGGCCAGGTGGCCGCCCCNCGGCCCCAATCAAGTTACTCTTACCAGATACTATTATTGATACTACAGTAGCAATTACTGTGGTAACATTTCTAATCACTTTTCTAATATTTACATTCATACATATATATATATATGTATATGCATATACATATATATTTATACATATGTAAATCTCCAGAGCAAATATGCAGTGATCTGTTGATTTGTTTTTCTGTGTGATTTTTATACTTTGAAAAATTTTTTCTTTTACTGTGTCTATGGTTCTATAACTTCCTTTTTTTTTTCTCTGTGGGCTTCCTTTCTGCCTCCTTTGGACTCTGCTTAAATTGACCTAGTTTTCGCTTTAATCAAATCTCCAGGAACCAATTCACTACTATTGAAAATTATCCAACAAGCTTTATTTTTACCATTAAAAATCCCTTTTAATAAAATTTTTGGATAACACAATCACAAAGTAAAAATGTTATCATTTACTTGACCAGTAAAAGACAACACTTATGAATAAAATTTGAAAAACATCTTCTGGCGTACTTACCTGATGATAAAAATGATTGCAGCTGAAAGCTGTGTCTGCCAGACAATGATTTCAGATTGGCTGTACTCACTGAAAGCTGTGAAAAAATGTATCGCCCAGCATCCTGATGAGGAAATCAATTACCTACCTCATTCTGGGTGAAGAGAATGAAAAGATAAAACAAGAAATAAAAGAATAACCCAAAAGGTAAGACTAAAATAAACTAAAACAAAGAGATATACATTTCAGGCTAGTACTGCTTTGCCTGACAATAAAGTCTTTATGCCTTCCAATATTCATGATGATTTTTATTCCTTCATTCCTGAGTCCTGAACTCTCATCCTAGAAGCAGCCAGCTGCCAGCCTTCAGCCACACCCGATGTCATTTTGCTCAGCTTGTCAGGACAGTTACCCAAACAGAGCGGCCTCTCGTTCTCCCCACCACAAGCATCCCATTCAAGAATCGCAGCCCCTGCTGGCCTGGCAGTAGAAAACAAATTTCATTTCCAGGGGAAAGTTACACATAATCTTTTTTCTGAACTATGTTTCTATCCTACTTGAGTTACTTTTCTTGGCCCTCACTGCTCCCTGAACAGCCCTGGCAGATAGGAAGTGAAGCCAGTACAGGTTATTCAAAGCCCCATTTAGCTTTCCTAACAGGTCATTTTCACGGAGCACTATAGGGACAGAATATTTTTATTTCCAGACCAACAAAAACTACCCCAAGTAATTTCAGCCATGTCATTATCTTCTCACCCTCACAAATGCTGCCGTCTCAGCCAGGAAGCTATAAAGCCAACGTCTTAGGAGATTCAGAATTTTATTAAAAATGTATTTGCTTTACTCAAAAGTGAATGCATGCTAGCTTGATCATAAAACGAATGACCTTTTTTGGGAAGGGGATGGGAGGCGGTAAATGAAACATGGGACTCATTTGCCAGCTGATGCTGAAGGCATAAAATAAATAAGAGGCTGCGGTGGAAGGAGGAAAAGCTTCCCACATCTTGGCTGGGATAGCGTATCCATGGATTGAGACTGGGAGGAAAGAATATGCTTTACCTTGTCCTGGGACAAATGAACACACACACACACACACACACACACACACACACAGTGGATCGCACTCAAGGGTAGCCATGGCCTGGCTGGACCTAATTTCATAGGCTCTGCCCTCAGCCAGGGCTATTGTAGTCTTAAAGAAGTTGTTACCCAGGACTGTGCCTTGCTTTGCTGACTTTCAACCTTCTGTCACGTTCAGAAAACTAGACCCAGATCACAGAGGCAAGGAATAGAAGGCAGACATGCCTCAGCCTGTTTGCACAGATAGAATCCTTTGGCCAGAGCCGTGGCCCAGAAACGAATGAACAGAACTCCCAACCCAGCAAGGGGCTTCAGGCTGCCTGCAGCTCTGCCTCCTTCCTGACCCCTTCCCTAGGGAATCCTGGGCTCAATGTGACTGAGGATGGGCCTTGTCAGACTGCAGGACACGGACACAGAGGAGGAAACTATTATCTGCTCCTCAATCTAGCCCTGCTTGCAATCCTTTTCTTAAAGATGTCAGATGTACCTTTGCCCTATACACACTCAAGAGTGCATTTTGATCCGAAGAATTTTTCAGCTGTGTCATGGAAGGATTCATGGTAAGGCTAGATTTGAAATGTGTTACGAAGATATCAGGGTGTAGTATTTAAAACCCGGATCACTCTGGATTTGAGAGGATGGGAGTTAAAAACAGATTTCAAGATAAGTCTTGAGCAGGTGGAAAACATGGTAGCGCTTTTGGACTTGGGCAATGCCCCTGCTCACTTCCAGGGGTTGATGGAAGGGTGCCCCCTAGCCTTCTGGACATCCTTTTCCACTGGGTGACAGCCTCATCTATTTGCCAGACCTCATCTATTTGATCCAGTGGTTTCAGACCAACAGCAGGGGCGCCACCTCCAGGCCAATCCCGAGAAGTGTAATTTTGTGAGCTGGACTGATATCCCCAGATGCCTTCATTCTGGACAGCGCACATCATCCTCAAGGTGCAGCAGGGCAAAGGGTCTGGGCTCCTGGGTTGGCCTAAGTTGAGGAGCAGATTCTAGAATCTAGGGTTTATTGGGGCTCAAGAATCTGGGTGGTCCATCCCCTACTTTCCCACCTTGTTTGCCCAGAGTGATCTCAGAAAGAGATGGGATTCCTCCTGTACGAGCCTCACTGTGTGTTTGGCTTCAGGCATTACCCTTTATTATTTTTTTTTAAGATTTTATTGGGGAATTGGGGAAGGGGAACAGCCAAGTTGTTGTCCTTCAATCTTAGTTATGGAGGGCACAGCAAGCTCAGCTCTAAGTCCAGTCGTGCCTCTCAGCTCAAGGTGCTGTGTTCAATTAGTGGCAGGTGGGTGTAGCCACCATCCCATGTGGGAGTCAAACCGGCGGCCTTGTGAACAGCCTGTGCTCTATCCACTGGGCCACCAGGGTGGCAGCTCAGCTCAAGGTGCCAAGATCAGTTTTTAGTTGCAGGTGGGCATAGCCACCATCTTGAACAGACAACCTTGTTAAGAGCATGTGCTCTCACCAGCTGAGCCATCCTGACACCTGTTGGCATCCAGCTCAGCTGGGGTGCAGCTCACNAAAAAAAATCTTAAAAAAAAAGACCCAGTCGACGGTAATTGGTTATAGCAAACAAATACCTGTTGTTTATAAGCCACCCAGGCTAGGGTAATTATTATAGCAGCCTGAACTGATTGAGACAGATGCCATAGGTCTAAAATACCATGATGGCAAATAAGGTATTCAGTAAACACGTAGGATGATGGTAAAAGCATGGCTCATGGGAAAAATAAATCCGTATTCAGTGTAAACCTTTTCCCAATGAGGTTGATTCGCTGTATCCACCATGATAGGAAGAAGCCATTATGATGATTACCATGTTTCCCCAAAAAGACTTAGCCGGAGAATAAGCCATAGCGTGATTCCTCCAGGATATGGAGGGCACGCACCCCTCACATGAAGGTTTTATCACCTGTTTCAGGGAGAAGGGTGCCTTTTCCACAAATTCCTTCAGCTTAAAATATTCAGTATGCCAAGGTGCCATATTTTGGCACCTAAAATGCTACGATTTATTTTCCGGCTAGGTCTTATTTTCAGGGAACAGGGTAATTCTAAAATGGACACTCAGCAGTGCCAATAGCCAGGTCAGCTTTGCCAAGGAGAAGCCCATGATCATCATTAGTTCATGACCCCAGTAAGTAGGCATTGGCCTGACTAGGGAAGGCACTTGACCTACATCCATAGGATGGGTCTTCTTGTCCACTAACACTAAATCTTTAGCAGTGAGAACATTATGATATTGTAAGTATTCATACAGGACACACATGCTCTCACTTTTTAGGTCTGTTCTGAGAATTTCACCTACATCCTCTCTCCCAAACCTTTTCACCAATCTAAATCCCTGACCACCTCGCCCATGAACTGGTACAGAGTCTTTCTTGAGGCAAAGAGAACCATAAGAGTACAACTCAAAGCTCTGCCCATGGGGAAGACTTCCTTTTCCCACTGCCCTTTCAAGGCCACTTGCGAGTGTAGCTGTAACACCTTAGCAGTCCACTCCCAGCTGATAGCATCTGTACACCAAGCTCAAATGTCCTCCTTAGTCACTTGGTCATGGGAGTTTTCCATAACGTGAATTGAGGGAGGGGTGCCAGCAACAGGAGAGTAAATATACTTGGAGTTGCACGCCTGTGCCTTCTCCAGGACCTACTCAGAGCTGCTCTTATATATTCCATGTCCTCTTGGGAAAGGGAATGCTACAGGGCACTTTATGGCTAAGTGGGACAGATACTTTGTTCATAAGCCACCTAGGTTACATGGTCATCTGGTCACCTGGTAATCCGTGATCAGGCTTTCAATCTTTGCCCGGGCCCAGGAGCAATTTGAGACCAGTTTATAAAAAGGAAAATAGTTATTAGCCAAAGAGAGCAAGGCTTTGCTCTAAAACCCTAATCACAACCAGAGTGATGCTCTTTGGGGGGCTTGCCATGGGCTCTGTACAGCATCCCAGCATCTGGCCGCACATGGAGCACCACTGGATACACTGGGTCCTGAGGACCAATCAGCAGAGCTCCTTGCACTGCAGCCTGGACCTGCGAAAGAAGCTTCTCTTGCTCTGTGTTGTGGCTCAACATTAGCAAGCTTTCAGGTCACTTGGAAAGTGGGTTAAAGCAGCACATACCAATGTAGTCTTCTAAATCCAAGGAGAGCTGCCAAGTATCCAGCACTGTCAGAAGAAACCACCGCACCCCACAGTCCTTGAATTCCTCACATCCAGTATAGCTCTGTGGCTTACAGCCATTCACTCTTCTAAAGACTTGCCTTTAATTCCAAGTGACATGGGTGTTTCGTTGACTTGTTTTGCCACAAGTTGATATTGAGTGTTTATAAGTCTCATACCTCAACATTAGATGAATTTTCTCTACCATCAGCCTCAAAAGGCTAGACGGTCACAGACCAC